AAACAAGCACCGTGGGAGGAAGCCGATGCTATTAATGGAGTAACATATCTTAGTTATGATGGAAGATGATGATAGACGACGACGAATTATTAAGATGATATATGATGATAGACGATGTACACAAGGAGAATGAAAACATTGCACGAAATCAGTGGCTAGAGAAACCCCAACCAGTTCACGAAAAAAACTCCGCTAGAAGGGTTAGTGACCAATGGTAAAGAAGGTAGCGACTGACGCTTCCCATCCCGAGGCTGTGATGAAATCAGCTCGCCGTGCAGGAGTCGAGACAGGATTCTGAACATCGCAGGATCGTGAAGGATGGCGCCGGCTTGGGGAACCCTTCATCCAGCAGTGGATCAATCATGGATGATGATGATGATACTCTGCACAAAGTTCACAACGCAGGTGCCCCAATGTAGTTTTGGTGTATGTTTGTTGACCTTGTTTTGTTTCGCACACAGCCAACCGTGCTAATTGGAGGTGCGGGGGGAAGCAGAACAAACTAAGCGCAAAAAATAAGTTCTAAAAAAAAACATTTACAATCTATATGTAAAAGTGCATAGCTCCAGTGGCTTCCTAATATTAGAAGATGGTTCCAGACGGCCGCAGAAGCTCAGATTGAAAGCGCGCGATGCGCTGACCGTCTTGGATCGATGATGATGATGAGCCGAAAGTAGCTGCTGTGATGGTTTCTGCTCCTTGCCGAGATCAGCAGGTTAATATCGCGAAGGCGTTTAAACAATTTGTTTGTGCGAAGCGAATGCTATACCAGACGATGTAGTTCTAGTAAAATGCAGACTGGTCCCCCAACATAGCAATTAAGCAACGCGCAGGGTTTAGTCTGGACACCACCAAGCGAGCCGCCACTTCTGGAGCGTGGAGACGTTGTAACCTTTGGTGCAAATTCCTGTAACTCGCGGTTATTTTAAGACTTACAGTAGTATCATCACACTGGCAACGCACGGGGGCAATCGAAGATGCGCGTTTCACTTATTCAGCATCGTCTATTGCGCGATAAGGGACACATGGACCGTCCATAAATGACGTCACGAGATTTTGGACAATTTTTGACCCCCCTCCCTCGTCACACGGCGTCACAAAAAGTCAGACCCCCCCCTCAAATATGACGTCACAAAGCTCTCCCCCCCCCCCTAAAAAATATAAAACACACTTCAAATCGCTTTAAAGTATTGTCATTGTAGTGCGTATTTAATGTGGCGCTGCACTCTGATGTTGTAGGAGAAATCATTTATTAAAAAGTATATTTTATTAAGTAGAACGTGTTGTCTATATTTATTTAAAGTTGCGCATTTTGATGTGACGTCACATTTCTCAACCCCCGCCCCCTCGTCACACATCGTCACAAATGTCTGACCCCCCCCCCCCCCCCAGGTGCGTTACGTCATTTATGGACGGCCCCATATCACGCGCATCCGTTTACCAATCCGCTGCTGTTTGAAGGCCTCCCGATACCATTACGGACATGGGTGAGGGAAGGGGGGTTGGTGGACCATACTTCACCACGCTGGTCAGTGACAACGCTGGTGAAGATGTATGCACAATTAACTTCTTTCGCACCGTACGTAGCCAACCGTGCTCATCGGCGGTGTGGGGGGAGGACAGCAAAACGCAACACAAAACACCGAATTGCCTTATTGTAACAACAGCACCTAACTTTTCCCAAGCAGCCAACATCTCAACATGCAGTGTTAACAATAACGAGCAATGCGTGTGCCCCTATGTGTTTGTACTAGGCTGCCGTAAATAAATTAACGTAATACACGGTCCTTTGTTAGACTGCATCAGTACATACACACACACACAAAGGCCATTAGGCTCGCGAAATTGAGCCGCAGATGGGTTCACTGAACCCATGCGCGGCTGGACGGGGCCACGTGGACTCAGGCGTGGCCCTCCCAGTGGGACACACGGGCGAGTGGCCAGGCGGGTCCACACAAACTCTGCTCCATCAACACAAACGCTTGAAACTCGCCAACTTCGCAATGATTATTATTATTCATACTTGTACGACGCCACACTGTCGTAGAGAAAGAACGACTCAGTGGCACAGGCAGGAATCCGAGACAAGGCGGGAAGGCTGCAGCCAGGCAGTGACCCAATAATTTCCCAAGCTCTGCGGTCCTCTACATAGAGAGGTGTTATCGGCCAATAAATCATTGTTTAGATACTCTTTGTTTCTTTCGGTAAAGTCACGTAGGTATAAAATAAAATAAATGTAATCACGACGTTTTGGGCAGAACACAAGCGTCCGTCATCAGGTGGGACAACCACAGCAAGAAACAATTGCGCCCGAAACGCCGTGATTTAATTTATTTGATTTTATACCTACGCGACTTTACCGAAAGAACCAAAGAGTATGGATCCCTGCAGTCACGAAAACTTCAAATCTACATTGTTTACATGTGGAAGGAAACTGGAGCATCCGGAGAAAACCCAAGCGTGCGAAGGGGAAACACTCTATCCCATACAGAATGAACAGGGAGGGAATCCACATTTTTGCTGTACCGCCTTCTCCTGGCAAGCCATGGTGTAGCATCTCAGATGCCCAAGTGGAGTTTCACAACCATGTGTGTGATCCACCGGGCAGCAGTCCTTCGACTTGCGATGCCAAAGACGCTTTCTTAGCATCCGATGGCTCGACTTCGTCAGAAATGTCACCATTCCATCTGCGACCGGTCTCCTAGCAATTGAGAGTTCAGTTCAAGGGAGACAGCTGCCACTTTTTGGACACGTCGCCCGGTCCTGATGCGCAAACTCCAGCAATTTGCGCACTTTAGTTGGTGATTGACGTTCGAAATGGACTTGCGACCCTAAAAGGAGTGGTGCCTCCCCCGTGGTCGCCCCGCGTGATCTGTGGATCAAACAACTCACTCGAGACGCCAATACGGCAGCAACAGCAGTCTATGCGAATGCTGTCGCAAGGATCACACGTTTGGCGCAACGGTCTTTCGCTGACTATGTGTGACGAATGAATGAATAATCCACCAACCCTCGCTTCCACAGTGCTAGATTACAGGCGTGCGCTACCACGCCTGTGATCTTGCACTGTGTTCACAAAAACGAGTAATGCGTGTGCCCCTACGTGTTTGCACGAGGCTTCCACACCTCCGACTCGCGCGGTTGGCTACGTACGGTGCGAAAGAAGGTCAACATACATACCACAACCAGGCAAAATATGTGCAGTCTAAGCCATCGGTTTGGCTAATAATTCCAAGAAGAATAATAGTCGTAGTAATAATAATGGAATCTGTAAATGACAAGAAAACCCCAATATGAAAAAATACTAGCGCAGGCTGGAAAAATAATACGTTTTAAACAATGCGCAAAAACATGTAGTATGAATCCTTGCAGTCACGAAAGCTTCAAATCTAGATGTAAAAAACACTTTCATGCAAAAAAAACAACAGCAGCAGTTTGCAAAGAATTTCACTGTGGTCCTGTTATCAAAAATAAATGTGAGTAAATGTGACCTACTGAGGCTGGCAGCGGTGATATAGTGATAGACAACTGTGAACCGGTTAGATTTGATTATTGTTGGCATGAGCCAAGCCAATTGGTACAATAGTGTAGACTCCGCATGTATGGCTTCCATAAGCAGTCTTTGCAGCAGCGAGCGTTGGTGACTTTAACTGTGCTGATGGATGTATGTGAATTTCTTTCGCACCGTACGTAGCCAACCGAGCTTGTCGGAGGCGCGGGGGAAGGACAACGAACGCACACGTGTCAACCCCTTATCAGTGCCCTACCTTATTACAGATCAATTCAGACCTTGCTGGTCACCCCGTGCCCTAACAAATCTCAACGTGCATCCCACAAAGTCGCAACACAAAGGAGAAACAAACAAATAAACAACTAATGCTCGCCCGTTTTGAAACGGCTGTACGCCCTATGGACCTGAAAACTCAATTTCCCTGCACAAGAATACAGGTAAACCGCGTGGGTTGACACGGTATGCAAACTAAACACAAAACGCAGTTCTAAAGAAATGCCTTTTCAATCTATATGTTAAAGTGCAATTGGTTGCCTATCGCTGCATCACACTTGCCCTGCCCGTCGATCTTCACATTTTGCTCAAATTAAGTTTAATGTTGACCCACACCTCTCTTTTTGGTGACCTCCACCAAGCAGCTGGGGGCGGTAGGGGGGGTGCATATAGCCCCGCCCCTCCAAACAGCCAAGGGGGTTGGGCTCAGAGCAAAGGGGCGTGGCTTCTCGTGTTAGCCACACCCCTCCAGCACCCGGGGAGAGAGGTGGGGCTGAGTGTGGGTAGGGGGGGGGTGTGGGGGGGTAGGGGAGGTAGAGGGTCTGGGGGGGGGTAGAGGGGGGTAGGGGGTGTAGTGGTGAGCGCGCTGCGCTACGAACCCGCCCCCCCCCCCGAGTTCGATTCCCGCTCACGCCCACCAACGCCAACGACGATTTATATCTGAACCGACCTCCGGGCCTCCCCTAGGTCGACTCAGCCTCAAATGAGTTTCGTGGTGCGAGTGTGTAAACGTCGCCACTGGGGGAGACAAAGGCGGCCGGGCGTGCTTGCTGCCCCCTTCCCCCCCCCCGTGTGCCGGGCCCCTTCAATCGGTTTGCTCCTCGCTAACAGCACTTGCCCCAACAGCCTGCTCAGGCTACACGGGGGATCTTTGTCTTTGGGGTAGTGGTGGGAGGGGCGGAGCGCTAGAGGTGGGAGGGGCGGGGGGGGGTTAGTGGTGGGAGGGGCGGGGGGGGTTAGTGGTGGGAGGGGAGGGGCGGTTGTAGTGGTGGGAAGGGCGGGGGGGTTAGTGGTGGGAGGGGCGGGGGGGTGAGTGGGTTATTGCGGGGCGGGGTGGTGGGGGGAGGGGAGGGGCGGGGGGGTGAGTGGGTTATTGCGGGGCGGGGTAGTGGGGGAAGAGGCGGGGCGAGGGGGGTGGGTTATTGCGGGGGGCGGGGCTGCCCCGCTCAGCTGTGAGAGGCGGCGCGCGCTCTGGATGAGTGCGCACGCGGCGGAGGGGTGCGGGTGCAGCGGGCATCGTCAGCTGCGCGAGCGAGCGAGTGAGCCGCTCGTATAAAACCAGCGTCCTCCCCTCTCTCGTTGTCACACTCGCACGCACGCACGCCACGCGTGTACATCTCCCACGCCGCACGTGTACCATCTCGCACGCCACACGCACGCTACACGTATAGAGAGCTCACAGCGCGTTCGGAAAGGAAACAGGAGCCGATCGTAGCCACTGAACCCGCGTCTTGAAGTGTAAAAATACGAGTGGTTAATTGGTAGACCTAGAAGGTTTTTTGTTAATCTTTTAGTCCTGTTTCCAACTTTGCTAGCCGCAGTCTTGTTTTTTACATTTCTATTTTTTTTTTTGTTACGCGAAGATATTTGTTGGGTCCGTGTATTTTTAAATTACATCAGCGCTGCTTTATTCTTAGCGACATTACTTGTCCTTAGTCGTCAAGCGCAAGCTTTGAGCGGAGTTCGCGGAGTCACTTGCGGTGTTCAGTTAAAGGGCGTCAGTAGCAGCAGCAGCAACAGCAGCAGCAACAGCAGCAGCAACAGCCACCGGTGAAATGAGTAAGAACCACTCCGATCTTGAGACCTGCCTGGTGGTGAGCAGCCACCACGAGGACGAGGTATGTTGTGGACGCGTGGTGCTCACAAAGTGTTCCATTGCTGCTGCTGCTGCTGCTGATGTTGTTTGTGATGATTGTGGGTGGTGGTGGTGACGATTGATGATGGGTGCAAGCGTCGTCGCGAGTGCGTTCACCGGCAACTTGAGACGGACTCAATTGTCATTTGTGCCCTTTTGTAAATTCCGATTGAGATTCATATTCTTAGTTTCTTTCGGTAAACTCACGTAGGTAAAAAAAATACAATTAAAATTAATAAAAGTAAATAAAAAGTAAAATAAAAATCACGACGTTTCGGAGGCAACACAAGCTTCCGTCTTCAGGTGGAACCGTCACAGCACGATTGCTAAGTGACTTTACCGAAAAAAACCTAAGAATATGTATCCTTGCAGTCACGAAAGCTTCAAATCTAGAATCCGATTGAGATATTCACATTCGCATACATTTGCGCGCTTTAATTAAAATACGCAACTTGACCATTCCGAAACCGACCACCCTAATGCCCTTTCAATGAATGTAGCCACATCTGTTTCGCTGTTGTGTTTAAATTGCCGGATCGCTTTAAAAGAGTCGCAAATAGATGAGAATGACTGCCACCAATTTGTTAGACTGCGCGACATTTGTAGGGAGGAAGTGGGTCAGTGTTTGTCTGCGGTCGACACTGGCTCCCCTCCATAGACATGTGGAATTGCGGTCATTGACTCAGTTTCGCTAAAGTTAGAGAAGCTTTGCCCACAGTGGCTTTACTCTGGATATGAGGAAGCAAATGACGGGATGCCTGCCGTTAAACCAGCGGGGATTGGAAACTTACATGACTCTTAATATATTTTCGGTGGCTTTGAAAGTGCATTGGTATGAGAGTGAATATGAGAATAAGTGCAAAAAGATTTCGTTCCCCACTGTGTTTAAAAGACTGTGTTGTTTGTTTCTCTCGTAAAGACTGATTGTGTATCGAGATTCTGCATACATTTTTTTGGGAGAAAGTTATCTGCGCACACCAAAGTTGTTTTAACAAATACATTGTGAAAAGCGAATGATTTATGGTGAGCCGGAGATCATAACGTGTAATGTGCACATGACTTATGTGAAATTTAGTGTTAATGTTTGCCACTTGCAACACTATTTTTTTTATTATCTCATAAAACAGCTGAAGGGAGAAGAGCTATAAAAACTAAACGTGACATCTCATAACCTTCGCGCACAGCGGAGCATTTCGGGCTTGCAACATCAGCAAACAGTAAATAAAAAGTAGTGCCTTAGACGTCCCGTGTAATTTTTTTCTCCCTCCCTTGAATAGAGTTTTTATCGGGCCATTTCAGTCCAGCTTGCGCCAATTTATGCTCATTAGTCAGGCCACAGCTGTTCCACAATGTATGTATGTTGAACTTCTTTCGCACCGTACGTAGCCAACCGTGCTAATCGGAGGTGCGGGGGGAAGGGCAACACGCTTAACACAAAAAAGCAGTTTTAGCGAAATGAGTTCTCAATTCAGATTTAAAAGTGCATAGCTCGATTGGCGTCCTAATATCGGAAGGAAGAGCGTTCCAGACGGCCGAAGAGAAACGCACGTGATCGCGCGCAGTGCAGTTTTTGTGTACGCCAGCCTCTGATGTACATTGTGAAGCATGTGTTGGCAGTTCTAGATAAGGTTTGCGTTTACTATTAACATAGTCCGATGTGCGGTAAGTGAATATTGTATTTTCTTCCAAAGCACTTGGCTCACATTTTAATTGGACAAGTTAAACGTTTTAAATAATTGTCTTTGTATTCCTGCATTTGGGTACATTCGCTTTGTAACCAGGTGCATTTGCACTTTCAAAATGACCAGTGAATATTAAATAATTTAATGCCATAAATTCTCTGATGAGTTTTGGGCTTTTGCACTGCCCCGTTGTCCGGCATGCAACCCGACATTTCACTCCACGTTCCTGAATAATCTTGCAGCCACTCGGAGCGAAACGCCAGACATAATCCCAAACAACCCGAAAACACATCGGAGAGCTCTTCAGTAAAACCACAAAAACCTACGCAGTCAAATGACCTTTCCCACTTGTAGACTATACAATGGGGATCAGCCGTGAGGCATTTCAAACTTTTGACCGTCCCCAACATTGGGAGTTAAGCTTCATACATTAACGTGCACAATCCCTGCAATGGGTCTTTCCCAAGTTAAGACTCGCATACTGTGATTGTAATGCCTGGTTGTATCGTCGGCGTCACGACTACTGGGAAGACACCGCTGGTCGGTGCCGGTTTCCTCTCTTCCTCCTTTATCTTGAGGGGGTCACCATTTGTGTAAATAGCCTGAGACATTCTGTAAGCAATGCCTCCGAGATTAAGTGAAACAAAGGGACACGAGTTTAAAGCCACGAGATCCAAGATGCGCTGAATAGAACGGCATTTAATCTTAATTTTGGAGCTTTCGTGACTGCAGGAATTATTCTTTGGTTCTTTCGGTAAAGTCACGTGTAAAGATAAAATAATAAATTAAATAATAGCATACGACGTTTCGATTGCAACACAAGCAATCATTATACCTGATGATAAAATTTTATCTTTATACGTGACTTTACCGAAAGAACCCAAGAAGAACGGCATTTGTTCCAACAATTTATAGCGTATTCTTAGTTTATTTTAAAATTTCCAGTCAAAAACCGCTTGAGTCATCGTTTCTTCTGAAATGTCAGCTGATAGAATAACAACGGCAAGCGCCTGGTTTTTGTTACTAAGCATGATACCAAATATATTTCATATGTCGGGGTCATTAATATTCCAGCGCAACTGCATAGGGCTTCGCTTCCAAAGTTCTACACATAATGTTCCAAATTAAGCAAATAAGTTCTTGTTACATAAGAATATGGGTTGTTGAGAAAATGTAAAAATAAACGTAGCAAATTGGTCTAGTTTATTTAGGAAATGTTACACTGAATGTTTTACTCCTGTTTTGTAAATGTAAGGTAACATGTAAGAGGGTGAAGTCACTTCTGTAGTGGCAAATCGCGTTATTGGTAGAGCAGTGGTGTTTGTTACTGAAAGTAAGTAATCTTTATCCTTTCACATTTATTTAATTGGTATTTAATCCTCTTAAAATCAAGGCACTACGTCATACGTACACACCCAAGTATATTAAGCATTTATCGTGCATTTAAACTTTTATTTACATTTATGGGCTTGGTATAAATTAATGGGCTCCTATTTTAATATTTATGATGTCACTAATGTGCTATCATAAAATCACTTCCTGGCATGGTACACAAACTGATGCTTGAATGCACCGGTTTCAGAAATGACCATTTTGCAAGAATTTCAGTTATGCATCTAAAACCCTGAACAAGCACACAATGAGCATTACACATATGCATGGTTTACAGTTCAAGTCACAACATTCCATTAAATATACGCACACATAGACCAATTCATGAATCATAGTTTCATAAAGAGTTGGGGGTTTCGGACCAAAGCAAGTAAAGTATATGCATATATCCTGTTAACAATTTTATCGATATGCTATGAACTCTATATGCTATATGTGTGTCAAAGACCTGGCCATGTAGGCGCAGTGGTACAAGGACTTGTCTCAAAATGATAAAAGTTAAATAATAATGTAATACTCTTTTGGTTCTTTCGGTAAAGTCACGTAGGTAGAAAAATAAATAACAAATTACGACGTTTCGATCTGCTGAACTTGTTCAGCAGATCGACGGCTGTATATTTCTACCTGATGACGATTGCTTGTGTTGCGATCGAAACGTCGTGATTTATTATTTATTTTTCTACCTACGTGACTTTACCGAAAGAACCAAAGAGTATGGATTCCTGCAGTCACGAAAACTTCAAATCAATATTTAATAATGTAATAATTTACATTTGTCAGTCCACTGCTGGCTGAGACGTTAACTTCGCCTGGTGTACAAAAGGTCGTGGGTTCAACCCTGACCCTGACTCCTGTATATTTTGAGTTTGCATCTTCTCCCCATGGTCGCATGGATTTGTATACGTATCCGTGTTTTATCTCCACATTTAGAAACATGCGTTTAGAGTATTTGGCTGCTATAGATTTCCACATGATAAGCCACTTCGTTGCGCTATCGTTTGTGGCCAGGTCACTTCTGAAAAAGAGTTATATAGCTCAGGGGGCCTAACCTGGTAAATAAAAATAGTTTAGTTTGTATGTATGTACGTTGAACTTCTTTTGCACCGTACGTAGCCAACCGTCCTAATCGGAGGTGCGAGTTTGAAGGCCTCCCCTATACTGTGCAGCTGATGAAGATTAATGCTGCTGGTTAGTGTGGGCTGCTAAAGGAGTTGCCCAGTACTGGTTCAGGTTTCACTCGCCACTGATATTAATCGTGGTCAGGAATTACTGAGTTCATAGCAGGCTGCGCTCATCACCGCACCACCACTCCACCCCGTAATTAGAGAGTTGCGAATTTGAATATTGCAGTTTGACGCGGCTTATCATCCCTGGAAGGTCAGTAAAATTGCGATCCCACAGAGTACCCCTTCTGTGGGATAGCGGTGGTAGTTCAAGTTCATGTTTATTTTGTCTAACCAGGTGAGAACTCAAGAGACCAGACTAGGATAGGTTTCTCGTTTGCAAAAGTGACCTGAGAAAAACTTAGTTAAAAAGGTAAACGAAGTAACGTCGTCCTCTTAATGGGAATGTCGAGTTTGCACCACTGACTTAGCACCATCAACAAATATGCTGATGCTCGTTTAGGCAGCGAGACGCTTCGACTTTTAACTTTCTGCACGAAAACCTTTTGAGAATGATAAACAGTTACAGCAGTCAAATATCAAGGTGTATACTTTGTTGATGTATGCAGGAGCTCGTGGGCTTCGATCCGGACCCTGACGCCTGTTTATTTAGCGTTTGCATGTTCTTCCCGTGGTCGTGGGGATTTTTCTCCGGGTCCTCTGGTTTTTTCCCTCAACATTTAAAAACATGCTTTTGATTTCCACATGATAAGCCACTTCGTTGAGCCATCGTTTGTGGCCAGGTCGCTTCTGAAAAATAGCTATATAGCTCAGTGAGAGTTACCTGGTAAATATAAATTGTTTTAGTTTAGTTTATAGTTAACATGATTTAGTAATATTAAATGTACCATGTTCATTGATGGTAGGGGCTACTTATTAAGAATGTGTACTCCAAAAAAACACGAGGTTAAACAGAATTGTAAAATAACATTGTCCCACCATATACCACCACTTTTTATGGTTGCATTCTGAATGTGATAACATAGACAGTATAATAATATTACTACGTGCCGATACTTTCTCCCGTAGAGTGTTAATACTATGATTTGGTTTCGTCTTTAAAATATCTTCTAATAATTATAATTACTTACCCAACAAAGCCTCAGTCTCCAGAACTTTTCAGGAGAGGGTTCTGGATATGCATATATTTGGCCGAAGGGGGGTAAACCACTCTTAGGCTCCGTACACAGAGATATTCAAGAATGAATTGCTGTACTTCCATCTGTTGGCCAATGTGCAGCTCAAGCCTAACAACACGTGGTATTCCCAGTCTCCCATCCAAGTACTCGCCTGGCTCAGGCTCAGGCCTGGCGAGTACTTTAGCTTCCGAGAACTGGCAATATTGGGTACATTCAGGGTGATGTGCTCCTAGGCAATGTAATGTTTACGAAGCGAGATTTCACACGCAATTTTTTTTATGTGTCACATCGTTACATATGAATGATGGTCAGAATAGGTTTTTTTTGGTAACAAAATGCCTTTGTGTGTCCCGTTGTAAAACAGGCTGTGTACCGTTCTTTGTATGCACACTGTACAGCATAATCTGCACTTGCATGTAAATATATTCAGGAAAATTCACTCAATAAGGCATACATACATTCATATGTGTTGGATCTCAGGTTCACCTCCTTATCAACAATTAAAGTTTTGAGACCGAGATAATAAAAAGGGTAACTTCAAATGAACGTTAAGCATGAGATACTTCATGTATGTGTTTGTGCCTTAATAGCATGACCTCGGCAAGTGTTAACCACAACTTATGTATATGCGCACTCTCACACACACACACAAAGGTCTCACAGACTGTTGGGAGCAAGCTATGTTAGCGAGCACCTATTTAGGTCAGCACGGCGTTAGTGCTGATGCTTACACAGCTCACCAAATGCTCATTTTAAGGCTAAGTTCACCTTGGGGAAGCCCAGGGATTGGTTCAACCACGAATTGCTCATTCATGCATCTGTGTCTGGAATCGAGCTCAGGTCGCCGAGTTCGTAGTGCAAGTGTCTGAACCACTGCACCACCGCTCCACACTCGCACAAAGATAAAGATCCCCCGTATAGCCTTAACAGACTGTAGGGGCAAGTGCTGTTAGCGAGCACCTATGAAGGCCGGAACGGTACACGAGGGGGTGGGTGGCCAGCACCACGCCCTACCGCCTTTGTCTCCCCAGTGGCGATGTTTACACACCGCACCAGGTACTCATTTAAGGCTGAGTCGACCTAGGGGAGGCGCAGGACCTGTTCAGATAATCGTCACTGGTTTGGCCGTGAGCGGGAATCGAACCCGGGTCGCCAGGTTCATAGCGCAGCGCGCTAACCGCTACACTACCGCTCCCCACACTCACACGCACACACACGCACACGCACATGCTTATGTACTCAAAGTGTGCTCTTTGGGAGTGAACATTACCTACAGATTGTATGAAAACATTCTGGGGCCATGTGTTGGAATGTTACTGAAAACAAACAAAAATGTATGATTTCTTTCCACCAATTTGACCCTTTTCCTGCCAAAATAGACAGAGAGCGCCGTGCCACCGCTGTGCGAGGCGGACCTTCTGTGTGCGCAACCGTTACGTCAGGTGAAACATTATGCTCACTTTTTTTTAGCGATTGTTTTTTTTTGTTACAAAAATGTGCCCGCATTGAATGTAATTTTTTTTTTAAATCGCCTTCAGTTTAATGGAAAAAAACGTAATGAATACTTTTGTGCTTTAAACAATGAAATCGTTTCACGTAGTCTCAGGAATAAATTCAAGTGTGGTTCCGTGTCATACATGCCATCACGTACGACATCATCATCATCGCAACATGTGTGATACCATAATATCACATTGTGCTTCGCATTTTTATAAAGGTACTTGCTCGGTTTTGACTTCATCTTGCCTTCAAGTATAATGGATTGAACCCGAAAAAAAACAGGATACAAAAGCCCTATGGTTGATGCCAGATGCTGAATTCAACTAAGGCAATCGTGTCATGTAAAATCCTCCCACTTGCCCGAAATAAGATTTCCATGAGTGTGCGCCTAATGGCATGTTTTTATAAAAGTTTATGTAAGCACATTCCAGCGAGAGCAAAAAAAACACGTTGAAAAACAATGAGGAAACTCGCTGTCCCATCGTGTGGGGGGGAGTTTTGTTCATTTGACCCCTGCCGTTGTTTGAAAGACCCAGTTCATTTTAAAAGCCAATTTAACACCACCATTCTTCCAAGTGGACAGCATGGCGTTGATAAACATTTTCGTAATGATTTTAGAAATATTGCTGAATTATTATTGTTTTGGCGTCCGTTCACAGATATCCCTTGTGTCATGTTTATATTGCAAAATCCCACTCTAATTAAGTCACTGCCTGGTTTAATCATTAACCGTGGGAGCTTTTAGTCTGCGTGCGGTGTCTCTATGTGTATAACCTCTGCAAACTACACAGTGCAGGGTTTGAGTTGATAGTCACAACCCATGCCTGTATGGTCACAAACTAAGCTTGTTCCTTTTTCATCTTCTCAAACTCAAGTTACCGCTTTATTTTTATGACATTGCTTGTTTACCATGGAAAGCCTCACTGATACCCACGACTCTTTTTTCCGGAGCGTACTGCCAAGTTTCCACAGTAGTGAGCCATGATAGAAATGTATAATCACAATTGTGTTATTTGCAGGTATTTTTTTCTTCTTCAAATTGTAGTGTTTTTTTTTTCAAATTAGAAAAATTTGGACATACAATCTCCTGCTCTTACAAATGCGTCACAGGCTCTTTAACGTCCACTGTACCTTTACGGTGCATACACCCGCAGTAATGTCCAGGGACGGCCACTCATTTCGAACCGTGAACCTCTGCAACAAGCAGTGAATGAATTTCGATTTAAAGCTTTCGTGACTGCAGGGATTAATCTTCTTGGTTTCTTCGGTAAAGTCACAGGTCTGTCGGAAAGACAGCGTCTGAATGACGCTGAATGACGCTGTCTTTCCGACAGACCTGTTCTTCACCTGAGGATGGCTGCTTGCGTTGTGGCCGAAACGTCGTGAGAATTATTTTATTATGTTTTATTTGTATTATTTTATTACTTCCCTTCTACGTGACTTTACCGAAAGAACCAACAAGCAGTGAATGCACTACCGCTGGGCCGTGCCACCGCCTTAAACTTTCATCCAGGCTTTTTTTTAGTACGGGCTAAGCTTAGTTTTAAAAATTATTAATATAGAAAAATGATAACTAATCCCGAAAGGCAGTGTTTTTGTGCACTGTACCTGGCAACCTAAGTTCAATCCCAGCAACGGCTAACGTCAGAGGGGAGACATCTCTGAACCGGTCCTGGGCTGTCACTCCCCCAACCCGCACTGACCAACGTGGAAGGCCTTCCCCCATCGGTGGGTTGACAAAGGACTATAGATGAGATGAGAATCAATATTTTCCACGACCACACTTTTTTGATTTTGTAGGCCTACGCAGTCAAATGCAGCGAAGCATTTTATTTACATTAAAGTGTAACCTACAAAACAACACATGTAATGCATTCATTCAATGAACAGTTAAACTGCGCAGACATGCACTAGATGCCGGTAATTGTTGGAAATAGCATTGGGAGTGCCATTGTGAATACAAACATTGTTATGAAATAATTAGTAACCTAATTTTGTTTGTTTACAAAAATGCAATTATTTTGATTTAAATTAAAATAAATAAATGAACCCAACGACAAACACATCGTGGTGTGCAGAAGCACAGACGCATGGTTGCATAACTGTGCGTAAGGCTACACAAGACTTGGTCACGGTCAGACGTCCACGGCTGTTCGCCACACACGGTGCAGTCTAATGTATTTTTAGGACATTATTTAACAGTATACTTTATGCATACTCTGTATGCGTGCGGATTTAAACAAAGAAAGTACCTCCATTCAATGCATCTACGACTGATTCGGTCATTGGGGTGGAGCAGCGGCCCATTGATCAACGTACTGGGCTAATAACCCAGCAGACCTGAGTTCGATTCATAGCCATGGCTAACGTCAGCGGCGAATGATATCTGAATGGGTCATGGGCCTCCGTTCTTTAGGAGCTTGCACTTGGCGAGCATGGGGAAGTATAGTCAAATGACCCTCCAACACCGGCAGTAGATTGACAAAGGGTTGTGCACAACAGTCTGCATCTATTAATTGATTAATATCGGTCCTTGGGCCCACAATACAGCCACCGATTCGATCTCCCTCCCTGCTCTACCATCACTCCCCCCCTCTGCCCACCCACCCCCCTTTGCCCCCTGACCCTATCCCCCACACACACATTCACTCGTACATCCTGATCTCTGGACTGCACATTGCACTACATCGCACTATCACACTGGTTTAAATATCTTATTTCTTTAAATACTTTTTTTTAATAATATTTGACATTTAAAAAATTCTTGACTTGTTTATTTTAAGTCTATTACATTTTTGATTATTTATCTTGTGTTGATCGCCGATTGTTTATTGTTTATTTATGTCTGTTAATTGTGATTAATTTTTTAATTGCTTGGTTGCACCGTGGGACCAAGAGAGAGGACTGTAATTTCATCTGTGTTGTATGTCATGCATGTAACACACTTGACAATAAAGTGACTTTAAGACTTTTTTTAAGACTTTAAGATCTCGACGTATAGCTTGTGTGCAATGGGTCCCCGTGACTTACGGTGGTATAAGAAGTCGCTAAATTCAACAAAATAGGAAAATAAGAATACATTGTTGAATCAAACTTTGACTCCAAATCACGACAATTCGTCTGATTGTGAAGGCAGCGAAACGTGACAAATGCTTTAAATATGGCGCACATTCACACAGTGGATAATGAGCCTGTTGAGTGGATTAATCAACTGAAAACTGCAATCGACTATTTTGCCGTAATGGATTACTCGGGCCCATTTTTAAATAGCGGCCGGCCCCACACATCTTGCTTCCTGAAGGCAGGAAACCCCCTACTACTACTACAAGCCACACACTCGTTGCGACGCAACTAATGATGCCGGTGTCATCGTTAAGCCCTCACCCATCACCATCTGTCCAGTGGCACACGTGGGAAAAGATGTGATACTTTCCCCCCTCCCCCCAAGTTTTTTGTCGTCCGATTATTCAAATAATCCAACCGATGCAACACGGTAAAGTCATTGATGACATTACTCAAGTAATCAGATAGCCGAGCTCGAACTTTATTCAAATCTATTTCAATCTATTCACTGTGGCAGGTTTAACACACCTACGCGTACACACACCAGAGGTCGCAAACGGGTTTTGATTCCTTACCCGTACCCGGCCGCACCAGGGTCGCAAATGGGTATCCGTACCCGGCCGGGTACGGGTAGCCGTTCCCTACCCGTGCCCGTACCCTACCCGAAATGAGTGATAAACGGCTACTCACCAGTGACTCACGGCCTACCCGTACCCGTACCCGGCCGCACCAGGGTCGCAAATGGGTACCCGTACCCGGCCGGGTACGGTAGCCGGGTATCGGGTAGGGTACGGGTATCGGGTACCCGGTTGCGACCTCTGACACACACCCACGCGTGTGTGTTCGTATTAAAAGTGACGTGACAAATATGCGATGGAGGTTTTGTTCGTTCTTTCAGGTGCTTATGTCTGTTGTCATGAACGTGTGTAAACAAACTAATAAATGGCTCAGTCCTGGCGAAACTTGAAAACCATTTATGGGCATTATGTGTGAAGCTAATGAAAGCCCTTCTATTAAAACCCACACATAAATTACTCTTGCAAGGGCAAAGCGAGAAACACGGTGTTCCGAATGAAGCAAAAAATTGCCCAACATAGGGAATAGTCGAGATTGTGATAAATTGTTGTCGTCATCGGTTTGACAGCCCCGTGCTGAATTATGATGAACAATATGCACCTTCAACTCCGGTAGGACTTAGTTCAACATTTCTGGTGCTATTTTTTGCACAGACCGTTCGTTTCCGTGCTGTTTTAAGGTAACGTTATCTTTCTGGCACTGGCCTGCGTTGGTATTGGCTGCCTCCCTTGGTATTTTGCATTGTTACTACAACAAAGGTACACGTTAAATGACGACAGTTCCTGTTAAATACAGTAGAACACCTCTTGCTCACTGCCTCATAATCCCCAACGCTTTATTATCCCAGCGGCTTGTAATATTCACTCCAATGATCCATGCCACCTATTCTTTCTAATAAATGCGACTATCCATGTCTATCCCAGATTACCGAATGGCTTCCTATTACAATATCTGCGATTTTTGTTGGCAGAGAAGTGGAGGCGGGTGCAAATTCATCATATCTCCCAATAATGATGCGTGAGATGTCTTATTCTTGGATGAGTCGAGTGAACTCGTGAATAACCCCTAACGATAGCAGGATCTGTGATGTTCGCCCCCCACATTTCCTTGGATAAGAGGGCTCTTATTCTTAGGTTTTTTCGGTAAAGTCACCGTGTAGGTAAAAAATGTAAATTAATAAAAGTAAATTTCGATTTAAAGCTTTCGTGACTGCAGGGATTCATCTTCTTGGTTCTTTCGGTAAAGTCACGTAGAAGGGAAGTAATAAAATAATAAAAAATAATAAAAATAAAACATAATAAAACAATTCTCACTATTGTTTTATTATGTTTTATTTTCATTATTTTATTACTTCCCTTCTACGTGACTTTACCGAAAGAACCAAGAAGATAATAAAAGTAAAATAAAACAAAATAAAAAATTCACGACGTTTCGGAAGCAACACAAGCCTCCGACTTCAGGTGGAACCGTCAGAGCACGCTCGCTGTATCAAGTAAATGAGTCGTGAATTTTTTATTTTGGTTTTATTTTACTTTTATTAATTTACATTTTTTACCTACGTGACTTTCCCGAAAAAACCTAAGAATATGAATCATTGCAGTCACGAGAGCTTCAAATCTAGAAATAAGAGGGCTCTGTTGTTCCATTACGATTATTTTTTTTTTTGGGGGGGTAGGAGGTTTTTGGAGGTCATTCCAATATAAATAATGAGTTAATGAGTCCTTGGAGAATAAGCACCTTGGTGCTGAGTACGAGTTGGTGATGTGCTACAATCGGAATGTGAGCCGTGCAGTGTGCACAGCATTGCGTAACCTGAACGCAAAGAGTTCACCAAGAGAATGGAGGAGCACCTGCAACCCGTGGCCTCTTTGATCGTTTTGGAGATGTTAAGTGCTACGCTGCATTGGGGAAATCTGAATTTAAGTCTAAGTTGTGTATCTGAAAACATTTGTTATCAAATGTCACATCCTGTCCGTGACTGTTACACTCTTTTTAAATTCGCAATTGTATGAGCCGCATCTGACCAAATCACACAGAATAGGTCCGATGTCATCATATCTCGGAAGCTAAGCAGGTTTGAGTGTGCCGAGTGCTCGGATAGGTGGCAACAATGCACAACGATAGGTGTCAAGGGCGTTTTACAAGAGAGGGCAGTGCATGAAATGTATTATTGTTCTACCCCCCACCACCACCCCTCTAATGTACTGTCCAGTGTGAAGAAGTATTGTCAAATAATCCCAACGACCAACAACAGCGTAGGGGAGGCCTTCATCTAGCACAGTAAAGTTACAGAAGCGCACAATTGTGCAACCTCAACTGCCTCGCAAGATCTTCTTGGTTCTTTCGGTAAAGTCACGTAGAAGGGAAGTAATAAAATAATAAAAATAAAACATAATAAAATAAAATAATTCTCACGACGTTTCGGCTACAACGCAAGCAGCCGTCTTCAGGTGAAGAATGAGACACTGCCAGGCTAGGAGCTTATATATACGCTGGGTTGGAGGTGCAAGAAGAGCGCCTTAACAAGAGTCTCGTGCTCCTGCCACGCATTAGCAGAGCACAGGTACACAGGTGCACGCCTGGATGTTATAGCCTGTACTGGTAAAAGCCATCATAAACGCGCCGTGACTGGAACAGTGGAAACTAGAAAAAAGGTCGCTGCTTCAATATGCATGCAATTACCATAAATTACATACTCAACACAGGACACATTGAGCATGTAATAATATAACGTATGCATTAGCTTTAACTTCAGAAAAAAAGTTAAATGTACGGGTTTACTAAATGTACTTACTTTAATTTCTATAACGACAATCGTTTTAGGAGTTGAGCTATTGCGAGGGGCGCTTATTGTTTGTAATGCAGGCGTGGGGAATTTTAACTGCTGCACTTGGAATGGCATCACAGGGTCTGTACCATCCAGTTTTCAGCAATAATTAATCACAGGATGTATCAGGTGATCATGGGAATTAAACTAATGTTGACTTCGTGGCCAGTGGACTAACCATTAGATTTTGGTCTGTGTACAATTTAAATTAGCACGAGACAAAACGGCAAGCTAACAGTGATATTGTCCAATTGGGATGGGTTTAGTCAAGTGATGGCAATATTTCCAACGTCAGAGTAAAGTGGTAACCGAATGCTATTCCAATGAGCAACCGGAGAGCATACAGTGTTGCACGGTCTCTTGAGTAGCGTTGACATAAAGGGTTTAATGAGTGTGGTCATGAACTGCGGAAGTAATTCATGATCCACTTTGAAAACTGAGATTTGAAATCTGGTTTGTAGTTTTAGTTTTCACGGTACTGAAATAGGGGTGCAATAATAATTGTTTCAACAATTGTGACCAAATTCATAATCAATGTTTTTGGGTTTAGATCGCGTTATTTATGAATGTGTCGTAACCCTCCGATCTAAACCCAAAAACATTGATTATGAATAATATTGGTCGCGAAAGCCTACGTGTTAAACTGAATTGTGACCAATCCGATGACAATGAAACTAACAGCAGACAACATGCTTTATTCAATGCAACACTGGAAACACTCGCATGATCTGACACTGGTACATCATCCTCAGTTGGTCGATAGTTCGCAACGGCACACGGCGAATGCGCGACTGTTCCCCAAGTTAAAACGGCACCGTGTAATCAAAAGCGCAATCATAAATAAAATACGGCGCTGAAATTTGTTTACGCTGGAACTTTCCTCCTTGCGAGAGATGTTATTTGTTTCCTTACGGGTGGCCCGAGGAATTGCCATAATTATTGAGAAGAAACACAAATATGAACGTTCATTTTTGGGGGCAGTGGTTAGATTAAAAAAAACGAGTCGCTGAATTTTGATTTAAAGCTTTCGTGACTGCAGGGATTCATATTCTTGGTTATTTCGGTAAAGTCACGTAGAAGGGAAGTAATAAAATATTACAAATATATTTCTAATACAAATATATTAATATTTGCATTACTTTGTTATTTCCCTTCTACGTGATTTATAATACAAAAATATTTATATTTTAATTATTGTATTATTTCCCTTCTACGTGACTTTACCGAAAGAACCAAGAATATGAGTCGTTGAATGTTCATCAGCACACTCTGCTCCCTTTTTAGCCCGAGCGCCACTCATTAGTGCACGCGGAGCCGTCCTTGAGTCTCTGAACTCGAGCATCTGATACCTTTCAGCCATTGTTCTTTTCCCGTGGGGATGGAGTGTCATTGCCTTTTATGTTTAATGTATAGCTAATGTATAGCTAATAAAACACGAGGCTATGGTTATTTTTGGAATGAAGCTAAGTATGGCACCAGTGCGCACTACCTAGTTTCGACATGTGGTGCAGAAACACGGTCGTTAATGGGGGAAATATCGAACGAGGACGGAAACGTGCACCAAAAGCGGCGTGGCAAAGACGAATGCTTGGGGAAACAAGAGGCGTTCGTGGATTCGAGAACGCGCACGTGTTCACGACATCTTCCAAACTCTCAAGACGAGTCGGCTTGGGCACGATGTGTTGCTAGAAGGGATGGTGGACGATGGTCAACAATAACAACGGGAAGTGGCCACCAAGGAATGGAATTTGTGTGGGACGATGCATGCCGTGTTAGATGGAATCATGAAATCAGTCTGCGTGTAGGTGTGGTGACAACTTGGGAAGGCTTACCGTCCAGCAGTGGATTTAGGCATGGTCGATTATGGCGATGGCATTTGTATGTGGGTTGTAAGGAAGTTGAATGTCCTTCGTCGTAGTCTACGGTCTTGTAAGTCAACTCGGGCTGCTGCAGCGGTTAGCCAGAGCTGTCTATTGTGTTTTGATGATGTAGTAGCGTGGCCCTCGGTAATTCGCGGTGGTTCCATGTGTTTCACTCCTTTCAACGCGTACTCGAGTGTGACAGCCCACACGTGCCACTTCAAGTGCAGAAACTAAACTCTTCACGGTAACATAATCTCAGTTGCTCATTTCAATTGAATTCAACGTCCTTTATGTGGAGATATGTTTAGAGGCAGTTAACAAAAACATTTTTTACGGGGGAAATATTAATAATGAAGTGTCAAACAAATTGCCTCTATTTCGATAAGTTCGTCATGATTTAAAGTAGCGATTCTATTAATATTGTTTTGCTTTACGGTGATGTTAGTCGTCTCTAGTGGCTGGAGGGGGTCACGTGAACCCATTTTGTACAACATGAATCCAGAAAAGTTGACCCTTACACAATATGATGCATGTATTGTGAGAATAATGAACATTAATGGATGATTGATGAATTCATTACACCCCTATTGAAAAGACAAGATGTATTATTATGTTTGCTAATTATTTCCTTTGCTTTCGCATTTTTACCTCGATCATAGGTCGCATGCGCAATGCGCATAAATTTGCTGAAATGTCACGATGTCTCACTGCGCTGTGATGTGACATTTATTCGCACTTAATTCACTCAGTTTGACGAAATTGTCACAACCGGAACAAATAGTCGACAGTGGTTGGTGAATATAAACTGTGTCGGTGTCGAGAAATCTCACATGTTACTGCAGATTTTGAGGATTTTGAGAGAGTTTAATCACCCAGCCCCCCAACATCATCCAGAAGCCCACAATAATCAAATAACATGCCAACGATACTTGAACATATCAACAATCAAAGGGTGTCACAACAAATACTCTTCCGCCATCCAGGAGGAATCATGTTTCAAACAGATTTTACAACCAGCGTGTGTTTCTGTCTTACAGTAGCACATTCACAGCATATATTTTTTTTTCACAGTGGCAGTGTTTTTTCCCCTCCATCACCGCCACCCTCATTAGTTTTACACAATCGCAGATTCATCAGAGACTGACATCCCCTTCGAGGTTAGACTTTTGTCTCATGTTAGCGCCTCGCCTTTGGTTGCTTCCCACAGCATCAACTTGCGTGCTCTATCCAACAAGCTTTGACTCAGTCTTGGGGACCCGCTTGGCTCGGCCTGATAAGTTTTGTCCACCAGACACGGGGGGATCCTCTTCAGTGACCTGTTGCCAGATTTCTGAAAGGCTTAAAACAAATAAGTAATATTTAAAAATACTTTTTTTAAAACACGCTTTAATGAAATCTACCGTACAAGTAATGGCAGAACTCCACGACTCCAGGAAGTGGCCCTGAGGCTTGCCATAACGTAAGGGACCGTGGTGATTTACAGCCAACGTCAGTTGAGCGTGGACAATTAGACCCAAGCCGAAACATAAGATATAAAAAAGATTGCTTAAAAATATTTTTTCTTTTTCATTATAGAATATAGTATTGTCATCAGTATGACATACGTATACCAAGTTTGCAGTCGATACCACATTGGGAAGTGGGTAAAAATGTATTTACAAGATTTGAGTATATGACAGACAGTGAGTTAAATAAAAGTGTGTAAAATACAGATTTTCTTTGCTTTATGCGGGTTCGGTTTGTGCTATTTCGCGTACCTGCGTTTAACCTATTTCTGCCCCAAAATTCGTTCACACGTGGCTATGAGGTCGGAGGTAGAACCACAGTGTGTGTGTGTGCTGTACGTGCTACTCGGCAGGCAGATGTCTCGTGCTTTTTCGCTTTGTGCTCCCTGCTTTTGGAATGCACCTATTACCGTATAAAGCGAGGGAAACTTTTCCTCTCTTATTCGACATATAAGTATATTCCCTGTAATGGGCTCCGTCTGACTTACTAAGGTATTGCTTGACAAGATGCCCATGAATGCTGCCGGCTTGCCTCGGAATCAACAAAGCTGTAGCTGCTCCATCGCTCCGCCATGATGTTAAGATAATAATTTGTCATACCTGGTCTTATATTTAAAACCTGTCATCCCCTCCTCGAAATCAAGCTTGGGTAACAAACTCCCATAATTTCTTCAATTACCTCATCCCATTATCTCACTGCTTTGCATAGTTCCTTGTAGAATCTGCAGATATCGTTTTTTTAACGTCTACTTTGGGGTTATCTCCCGATAAATCAACAAGCCGTAAAATCCAATGACCTTTTGACCCCAGCAGCAAAAGTAAAAAAATTCAATCCGACGTCAGAGTTTGGCTGAGAAACCACCCGGAATGCTCCCCCCCCCCCCCCCCATGTCATCAGATCTGGGAAGCTATGCAGGGTTAAGCCTGGACAGTGTTTGAATGGGTGACCACCATGCATAGTTGGCTGTGAGGCTACGTGGTGGGCAGTGGTTCGAGGTGAGCAGTAGAGGGCATTTCCGTAATATCAGAATCAGAAACTTGAATCAGACTGGAGGAATCCGATGAGCTATGAAGCTCTTCTTAGCAGATGTCTAGAATGGGCGGTCAACAAGTTGCAACAGCACACAATACCAAAAACACGATAGGAGTGAAAAATAGAGAATATAATTATTATATAAGTCCGATTTATCAAACTTGGGCGAGGTAGCAAAAGCAACTAAATAATCCCAGACCACACAGCATCGCTGTACTGTAATGCTGTGTTCCCATACCTTTACTCCTTGTCTCACGTTGACCAGCCCGGTGAAGTACTATTTAGTCAAAATAACTCCTATGGCGTGTGATAGCACGGCACGCCATAGGGAGGCCCCCATCCTGCAGTGAATTGACCAAAGGGCTGTGTGTCTCCACTCACACGGTTCAATTGTTACAGTTCATCGAATTGTAAATCCTTGTAATGGTAAATTCTTTTATTTGAAATCTGTGATAGTATTGAAAGGGATGTTTCCACTAATCTGACGCCTGCAGCATTTGGAGTTTGCATGTTCTCCCCGTGGCCTCATAGATTTTTCTCCCGGGTCCTCCGGTTTTTCCCTCCACAAATAGAAACATTCGGTTGTGTATATTGTATGTACAGTGAACTTCTTTTGCACCGTATGTAACCAACCGTGCTAATTGGAGGTGCTATACATTTCCACACTTCGTTGAGCAATCATTTGTGGCCAGGTCACTTCTGAAAAAGAGCTATACAGCCTGGCCCTCACCTGGTAAACAAAACATTAATAATGGAAAGCTTGAGCCAATCATATCAGATTATTGGTCTTAACCATGCATTTTAAACAAATATATCTTGGTGGGTAGGGGGGGGGGGAATTTCAGATCAATTTAAACGCTGTTTTAAAAGTGATTTGCTCATAAAAAAACACATTACATCCACGACCGCACAAAGCTACATTTAATTTCCATTTAAAAGCTGTAAAAAATGAATTTGACTTAACCTCTTAAGCATTGTGATAATTAAGCATCCTGGCACTTGTTCGTTGCAGTATTTGACCACAGTAATAAGTGCTAATCAATGGATAGCTTCAGTGCCAAATGGAGCAGCAACTCGTATGTAGGGCACAGTGTCGAATATAAAGATGGGTTTCCGAACACGCAGAAGGCAGGCGCTGTGGCGCCCTTTAGTTGCCGTAGTTTGAACTTTTGAACACATCGGTGATATCGAGGAATGATGTGCAAGCGCCAACAACTCAGGGGCGTATTGATGCATCAATTCATTGATCGTTACCGATTCTCTGGGCCCACGATACACGCATAAAATCACAAGCCTGATATAATCAATGTGCTTCGATTTGTATATATGTTGTATGTAATGGGTTTTTTTACGTGACCCCTTGGCCTGGAGCTGCTAGGGACTGCTACTTTCAACACAATGTTAGCAATCGATTCTTGAATCAATTCTTGGCCCCGAATCATGACAATTTATCACATCCCTGGGAGAGGATGATTTGTCACGATCCTATCTGCAATCCCCCTCCCTTCCCCTTCCCTCTCTCCCTTCCGCCCTCCCGTCCGCCCGCTCGCCTGCCCACCTATTAGCCTGCAAAACTTAAAAAAAAAATATACAGTATAATTCATACACTCAAAATATATGTACAGTATACAAATTCTGCTTGTGGGAATGGATTATGTCAGATTTGTACAAAGGAAATACATGGCAATGTTTCTTTGAGGCTCATTGGGAGAAGAAACCCATACAAATGAAACTACAAACAACAAACAAAATACTGTAGTGAAAACAGAACTGGAGAATAATCGATTTTTTTCATCGAATCTCTACCATAACATTGTGATAATTCGTCGAATTTCTTGAGGATTATTACATGCCCACATTAATACATTCTGTACACAATGGGCAGTCACAATCTTTTGATGCCACGATTCTGTATTGTTCCATCTACAACTCTCCAGCAATTTAAATGAACGAGGTGTAATTTCAAAGCTTATTTTAAGTAGTTTTTGCAAAAGAGGTTGAAATGACATTTGTTTTAAATCTCCAACCCGACAATTTGGCTAATTCACATTATCGCTCTCGTGCGGCTTGTTGGCTCCACTATTTACAATCACTCCCTATTGCAGGAACCCCTGTCTGAAAAATCATATAACAGCATGGATGGGTGCGTACAGGGGACAGGAAAAAATAATGTATTCCTGTTGATTCTCAACGGACTCTCCACTGCAGCAGATCTCTGATCGTCCTATTTCCCGCAGCAGCCGCAGGGTCCAGTTAAACTCATCCACGGACTCCTTTTTGCCTATCATCTGCGATTATTATCCGTCACTTTTCCCATAAATTTGTGCGCATCGTCATCCTATTATACGCACTTTTTTACGTGCATGGCAAATGCATCCTGTTATCCGTGGGTTATCCATAATTTTTTCCCTGCGGATAAAATGGAGTAAAATTGCAGATTATAGGATATGTGATATTGATCCCCAATATTTCCGCAGATAGGAGTTTTCCCTTAGTATGAATATAAATGTTATGATTAGGTTATGAAGTGTCACCATGTTGACATATATGTACACGTACATGTAAGTGTATTTTAGAAGCTTAAGATTATGTATTATATCACGTGATGTTAAATAGATGCTCAATGTTATATTTCCAATTAAATAATTACATACTGTATTACAGCACTGCAATAATTATGTTATGCATGATGCATTGTATGGACTTAAATCCTGAAGGTGATGAATGCTACAATATTATGAAGCAAATGAAATGTGTATACGTGGTTACAAAATGAAAATAATTTAGTTCCCACCGGTAATACTCGCAGAACTGTATTCCCTCCTTATTCACGAACTTGCTATCTGCGATTTTGGGTATCCGTAAATATTGTCCGGAACTCTACATGACTGAATCGAGAAAGAAAGTGGTGACATAACGTGATGAGATTTATTTAAGGTAATTCAGAAAAAAGTTACATTTTCATAAGCCAATTTCATTCTCGACATGTGCTGTTCACGAGCATCTCCGGAATGTATCCCTCCCGAATGACGAGGGCATGATTGGCGGGATATGAAACGAAAGTATTTATTATTGTTAATGAGTGGAACCTGCACTATGAAACAGCACTGATCTCACAAGCGAACCTGAACCGAACACTTAAAAAAATTAACCCGTAAAAACAAAGTTTTTCACTCTAAATCCTTTATATGTGTGGCGGCTAGAGTCCTCTCGTCCTCTGGCTTGAGATGGCTGCCACCTATGGGTCAGATGATTGTCTGCCACCATTAAGCAATTGGTAATTAAATATTTAAATTGTTTTCCCTAAACAGTGTAAAATTTTGGAAAAATATTTTCACGAAAATTAATTCTCACGCACAACGAGTCTGTGTGCAAAATGTCAGCTCGATTGGATCACGGGAAGTGGGTTAAAAGACGACCGAAAGATTTGCACGGTCGTAAGCAAGCAAGCACGCAAGCAAGCAAGCAAGCAAGCGAACTTAATATAAAGGATTTAAATATAACCCCCCCCCACCGAGTACCCCCACTGATCCACTGTGGTTCTCATTGAATAAAAAAAGGTAAAGGTGCAGCCCTGCCATTGCTTGTTCACGCCACTCCGAGAGGAAGGACCTTCACCACAGAGACCTGGAGGGTGTTTTGGCCCACCCTTCCACAATGGCCAGACGTCTTGTAAGAAGTGGGAGTATCCACACTTTACCCCACCACACCGGTGAACGGGCGCTATTTTTAAATCCTTTATATTAAGTTCGCTTGCTTGCTTGCTTGCGCGCTTACGACCGTGCAAATCTT